TATATATATATATATATATATATATATATATATATATATATTGCAAGATTGTTTAAATATTTGAAGAAATATCCTCGTGATTAGTAATCACGCAACTACTAAATTTGCCATTATGTTCTGAGACGGAATATTCGAAGCTATACACCCGTCGGTGCATTTGCGTAATTGCAGTTGTGTGTTTTTCAACTGGAAAAAAAGAGTAATATGATCAAAGGTGTGCCTGACCAGTCATTTCCAATTAGGTTTGGAACCCTGCTGCTACCTGGAACCTTAGAGTCAGATTATTTGAAAAGTATTCGATAATTAGAAACGGTAAAGAACGGAAGAAAAAAGAAGAGGAACTGCTTCTCAATGCTGCGCACCATCTTCTGCGTAGCCCTGCAGACGTTCCGAGCAAGAATTTTGGCGTCTCACTGCTCGGGTCCATTCAAAGGAGAACCGGGAGAATTAGTTAAGACAATGTTCACCATCCATCATTCCTGAAAGATGATCATTGTTTATGTTGTCTGCAAAGCTCATTTGATATATTTGGTCAGCAGTTCGTTTCCTTAATGTTCGGTTGGGGGTACAAAGTTTTGAGTTTAAATTAAAAGTTGATGGAACAATTACGTTCCATTTATCATCCTCTTTGTCTCATATCTCAGTAAGTTCGCATCATTATTTGCTATGTTACTGTATGTAGTTAGTCGAACCATCGCTTCTTATTTTTATCGAAATTTGCAACATAATTTTTAAGATCAATTTCAGCGAGTCGCCATCATATCATACGGGCAGTAGTGAGCCACCGAATGATCCCATTTCACCGCCGATGGGCGGTAATATCGACACAACGGATCGACGTCTTCGTCGTCAAATTGCCAATTGCAACGAACGTCGTCGTATGCAAAGTATCAACGCCGGTTTTCAATCACTGAAGTTACTATTGCCTAGAAGAGATGGCGAAAAGTTGAGCAAAGTGAACCTTTTTTTCTGGTTATTTCACGCCTCGTTAAATTGTCGCTAAGGAGAAAATGATGAATGTCTTAATTTTGAAAAAAAAAAATGATTTCCATATTTCCTTACTGCTGTCCAATAAATATAGAGAATAGTAATTTGGCTTATTGCCACGATACAATGTATTATGATGTATCTTTCGATGGGCACAGGCAAGTGACATTCTGCGTCCGTAACTGCTGACATTTCAAGGGAAACCAGCAGTGGAGAAAAAAAGCATATTGAAAGTAACAAAGGAATGTTTGGTATATTTTCTTTACTGTGCTATTCTCGTTAAATGTAGAATTTCAGGCTGCAATACTACAGCATACAGTCGAACTGATTCAGACATTGCGTGCCGAGAAAATGAAACTCATCGAAGAGAAAGAAACAGTTATAAATGCAAAAAAACGAAAGATTCAGGGTTTGTTCGAATTGATAACGGGAAAGGAGAAATTGAATTTCCTTTTTCCATTCTGTAACTTTATTATCATTGGAATACTTAACCAAGTTTGAACAGTGCTTTCTTATCACATAAAGCTTATGCACGGTGTCGAAAAAAAAAGATGTGTGGGAACAAAAAATTTCTTGCCTTAGAAGGATTGTTACACACTATAGAGCTGCTGTACTCCTCTCTGAGTGTTTGCTTCTTGAATGTCTGCAACACAACTATTTCTAGACACATGATTTCTCAATAAATTTCTGCGATGGACATAAAAGGAATGAAACTTCTTTGTTCATTTGAAACTGCTTTGTTCTTTTTTTTGGTTACATTTCTTTTTTTCCAGATGAAAACATGCGGGAACGTGGTGTAATAGGTGAGCTAACGGCTGCATTGGAACATGAGCGTCGTTTGCGACACCTTTATGAGAGAATGTTTAATTTATGGACGAATTCTCCGGTGCTTTCACAATTCCTTTCGAAACCGAACTCGTCAGTAGTTAATCCGGCTATTGCGCTGCAGAATGTCGTACCACCAGTTCTACACACACGCGGATTTACAGGTTCCCTTTTGAAATTTAGGATTTAAACAATTTATTATTAGTGAACTGTTTCCTTTCAGCTATTTCACTTTATCCACTTTTAAATGGTAATTGTTGTGCTCTGGGGGGTCCCCATTGTTGGGAACGCTTCTATAGTATATGAAAATTTAGTGTCAGAAACTGCATCATCGAATGATAATCAACAATACTGGTGGATTCCATATAGTAAACTCATTGAAATATTGATTCGTTTGATTAAATTTGCTTTTAATTTTTATAAAACCTCTTAACAGTTCTGCTTAGCATCGGAATTGTATGTGCGATTGAATTAGGTTCTGGTGTAATTTAGAAGAGTCTCGTGGGAGTTTTTGAAAAGCTTTCTTTTCAACATTTCAACCTTAGCGACACTAAAAATTGTCGAATTCCATTTTCTTCTCCGCCCATTTTCTAAATGAATTTCGAAAGGACGGAACTGCGTTCATTTGCATTGTGAAAAATTATTTGATTGAATGACTAATTTGGAAACTTGAAAGTTTTATGAAATTCAAACCAATCGAAAAGAAATTTTTCGGAAGTTTTCCAAAATTTTTGGAAGACAGTGGAAATACCAAGATGGCTTTATCTTCACCGCATTACTTTGGCTTTTACTACATCATTTGAATAGAACTCATTTTCTTCTAGAGTAGTTTTCCTTATTTCGGGCTCAAAATTGCCTTTTTCTTTTTCAGGACTTTTACCGCCTGCATTTTTGATCGATAATCTGCTAAACAATGCACGAATAGGTAGTAATGGTTGTGGTACTGGTAATGATAATGGTACTGGTAATGCTGGATCACTCCAAACTACGGGTTTCGATTTAAGCATGTTTACGGGTAATTTGGCATCGGAAACAGCAGTATCGACAATAGCAGCTAGCAATGAGACATGTTTTACCGGTGACAGAAAACCTTCACCATCACAAGCACAACCGCCACCGATCGGTGATTTACTTACACAACCATCACCTTTTCTCTTTAATTCTCTGGAGAAGGCCTCTGAAGCCAATTTGAATTCAAACTTCTATACAATTCTGGAAGCAATTCGACAGTTAGAAGAGAGTGCTTCCAATCTCGGTGGTTCCACTGCTACGTCGACAGTTAACCAACAGCAGCAGAAGCAACAAGCGAATGTGTTGGTTCGTTGAGTGGTGATATCCGATGATGTTTGCTTGAATGGATCTCGTCGAATTTCTCTTTTATTTTTATTTAATTTATTTCTTCCAAGGATTTCTTCCACTTGGTGAGCTTCTTTTGGATACGCTACATAAATCTATATTTGCCTCATGCTGTCGGGAATCGTGTTATTTTTTTTTCTTGCTCTACAAACATTGCATAGTTTTACCTTTGAATTATTTTTCCTTTTTTGAGTTATTGCATTTCAAATTCACATTTATTTCGTCATGTGTAAGTAATTTTACGATCTTCGAACAGCTATGCTTGGGATTACATCTCAGAGATATATCGAGAGTGTCGTACTGTAAACTCGAATGATTTCGATTATCCAAGCTGTAATTGATTTTTGCTTGTCCTTTGCTATAATCCATATACGATAGTTATAGGAACTTGCACTTTATTATGCAGATTGAAATTAATTGCATATAGGTTACTAATTGATCTGGTGATATGGTAGAATGATAGTTTTTTTTTCGGTTATCTCTGATTATCTGTGTTCTTTTTATCATTTGTAGGGTTTTTTTTTTTTTGTTGAGGGTTTTTTTTATCTCTCTCTGTCTTCACTGCTGCTATGCTTTTCAAGGGTTCATTGTTCGTTAGGACGAGATTTTGCATGTTTCAGTTCCTTCTATGTGATACAGCTAAGTCGAAGTATTGTTACTATTGCTATTGTCACACTTCTTGTGACTTTTCATCAGTAACCGTCATTTTAACTATTTTGATTTGTTTGTTCTGTTATTACTTTGTTATTAACTGTTAGAGTACTCAAATTGAGTTCATTTCAGTTAAGATCAGTTTCCATGCTGGTTTGTTCTTGTATTAAATGTTCCTTATGGCTGGCTTTTTGTTTAGCAAAAATCTCTATACCACCCCTTCTGTCGGTTTATTCGAAATTTGATTCTTACTTGAGAGTTTATAAGTTGTGGGATTTTCAAATTTTCAGAAAAAATGTTCGCAAATGTTTTCCTTTCAACTTACTTTGCTCACTTTTTGATTGAGTTACAAGCTGTGGTAACATTTTTTATATTCGGTTTAAAAAAAAATTTTCGTTTCTGTTGTTGTTGTAGTTGACAATTTAGACAAATTTTTTTCGGAAATAGATAACTTACCGTTTTATGGTGAATGGAACAAAACAATGGGTGTAATTCTCTTCATTTTTTGTAATATTTTTACATTATTGAAAGCGTTATATGTCATTTCTATCACTGAAAGTATTGACAGGGTGGAGGTGGAAGATGAGTATTATTCAATAATGGATTGGTTACAATAATCAATTTCAGTTGGTGCATGCCTTCAAAAACGAGGGGATTTGCAAGTTTGGATTTTTTCCAGTTGATGGCTAAGTTTAGAACTGGAAGGTGGTAAGATTCCGTCAGCTGACATGATTTGTTGAATTCAGAGTTTGAAAGTCAAGTTTTATTCGTAAAAAATTGCAGCAATTTGTCACGATCATAGTTTGCTATGATATCGAGAAGCTCGTCCACTTTCGATTTCCCATTTCGTCCGGACATTCGTTCTCTATCTGAAGGGAAGGATTAAAGTTTTTTTTTTTTTTTTTCCAGAATTGATATGAATGTTATTCAGTTGTGTGAATATCCCAAATAATGATTTCTTGACCGGATTGTTTATATTCCTCTTACCGATGTACAAATTCACAGTGATATTAGTGAGACGGTCGAAACGCGTACCACAAGAAGCCATTTCTTTATGCAGTTCATCAAATGATTCCATGATCTGTTTTGTATCGGCAGTTAGGTAGGACAGGTCGTCGATATTATACGTCAGTTCCTATAAAAACGATTTCCAGTTCCTTTTTTCTCATTCCGGTTGCTAGGAATGGTACTGCTCTTTTGTCAGAATTGAAAATGTAATTGTAGAAAGTTCATTTGAAATTCTCTCACTTTAAATTATAAGCCAACTTAGAAATAGCTATACTCAGCAAATTTCCTTGGATTGAAATGTAAGGAAATCGATTTAAACTTGGAAAAGCAATGGAGAAATAATATGATTAAGAAGTAATAACTCAAGACAGACTTTGAGTGCTCGACATAGTTCAAACTTTTTTGTTAACTTTGCATGATGATCAAGTTTCGGATGAAGCACTTGAAGCACATGAGGGATACTTTGCTCATTGAGATCTAAAATTATGATAGCCAGTGAGTAAATTCCAAATTTGGATTTCATATGATTCATTGTTTCTTTTTTTTTTTGAATAGTAAGAACTTCTCAAAAGTAAGTTGAAGAGTTATCGGTGATTACCTCGACCAATCTGGCTTTCCATGCAAAAAGTACGAGATTGATTAACTGCAAGAGATAAAAAGACGTTAATACTTGCCATACTGGATGTCTACTCTGACTTGTTTTTTGGTTACTTCTTTACTCAAGACATCACCGATGATCGCAATGGTCGAAATATTGTCACTAGAAAAGATGGCTGAACCGCGGCTAAAATAAAATTTGATTCATTACTGAAATGTTATCTTAAGTATTTAGCTCGGTATCACAAACAGTAGAAAGAAAATGAGAATCTTCTTCCACAGATAAATGTAATAATTAAATAAAAACTGGGTAAACGTGAAGTTATCCGTAGTGCCAATCGACTAGAACTAAGGAAGGAAGACGTAAAATAAAGTGTTTTGGCTTGTTATCTAAGATTCAACAAATGAATTAATAAATGAATCAGGTAGAATTTATTAGCTAACTTTGAAAATTTCCACAATCAAATCCTTCCTCGGAAGTATACCAAAACTTGCTGTGATAAATAAATTAATCAAATTTACCACATAGTTGTGAAGACATAAAAAGTAATGATGTCAACAAAAAGATGGACGTTCAACACATGATCATTGGGTTAGTAGTATGATACAGTGGATGAAGAATTCAATCACTGATTAGGGAAATATTGATGAAAAGTTGATAAACAATATGAATATTGAAAAAAGCATCCGTCAAGTTCAGAAGGAGAACGGATGAATAAATCTATCGAAACTTTTAATGGTAAATGAAGGAATCAAAAGAGATGTATGTGATTACTTTCCAACTTAGGCGATTATATGACGTCATGGCGCAATTTTCCTACTATTAGATATTTTAGCAGACAAAAAAAAAAGAAAAATGACGCGGTAATTTCATTAAAGAATGAATGCAACTAACCTATATGTAGCTTGCATTTGTGTACCAATAAAAACCGATGAGAAATTGTATGTTATAGAATCCTGTGGTGGTGGTCGTTCCGGAATTTCCGAAACCAGAAGATTCAACCATTGATGTGCTTCGGCGATCGAAAAATTTCCGGTTAATTTCAATACATTTGCTGGTTTTGATAAATCAAACTGATGCACTCGCTGATGCAATGATAAGGGTTTGATCTCATAATTGCGTACCTAAACAGTTAAACGTTTTCATTTCGGAAAAGAACGATACTTGGCTCGGAATCTCATCTTTGCACAAAATAAATCCAGCATAGAATTCATGAAATATGAAATGATCCAAACTTTTTATCAGATATATCAACGATATTTCAGTGTAATTTCAGTGTGAAATATGGAGACCTGACATGTTTTGGGATGGATTTTTGGGCAAATATAGGCTTTAAAATTTCCATATTGGCCTTCCAATGCGCGCATTTTAATTTCGATCCTTGTTGTGCTGGCCTGACAGCGATATGTCGCCAACAGCGCATTTTTTGACTGAAATTATTTTTGCTATCAGAATGAATCTTAAAGGTAGAAGTATCTATCGATCAATTTAGCTGAATTGGTTTAATCCTCATAATACTAATGCATGAATGAACTTAAATGCTTTAGCCAACATTTTCCATTGCATTACGGTATTTACTACAGTATGAAAAAGAGAAAGCCAGAAATAACTGTTTCATCGATTGGTGTGATGGAAACGATTGCTGCATTCTTCTCGACATCAAGCAACTCGACGGTTACATCACTCTGGAAGGTCGGGTTAAATAGTTTGAAAGGAAATTAGTGGCGTGCATTTACAAATAAAAGTCAAAACAATCTGACCTATTCAGCAATCGATTGGTTTGGAAATTGAAAAAGCAACAATTTCACTAAATTCTTCAATTTATGCAGAAAAGGATATTTAAAATTGTCGGTAAAACCTGGGATGACACTTAAAGCTGTGAATAAAACCTGAAATGATATTTAGAGCTGGAGTGGTACTTAATACTGTGGATAGAACCTGAAATGGTGCTTAGAGCTGGAATGATACTTAAAGCTGTGTGTGAAACCTGAAGCAAGATGAAATCCATTGGTATAATGAGCTCAATGATTAATGAGTAGCATACGGCTTCTTTATCAAGTTTAAATTGATCATTAACGATAAAATTTGGTATTGATACGGAAACGGTATCTTCTGCCATCATTATCTCATTATATCGTTGTTGTTCTTTGTCAATCCTTTGCTGTAACTTTTCAATTTCATTTCTGCAATAATTCGAATGAATTATTCATCAAATAATTGAATCCAAGAAAAGTTAGTGCTTATTTTATCATTCAAAAGTGAAAAAGTAATCAGTCAAAATTTTTTGAATTTAATTTTGAATAGAAATCGCTGACCGAACACAATAAATCAATATAATTAATAATGTGCTGATAAATGGATTAATCAATAATAAACAATAACTCAATATAAATTATATACTGATAAATGCAATAAATGGGTACCTAAGTTGTTGAACCTTGACCTCTACCAGAGGTGATAATGCCACGGTGGGATTTAGTTTCGCGATGGGTTCTGTAGTAAGAGCAAAAACCCAACCCATATGAGTAGAAACAACGATTTCATCAAAATCGGGAGATGATATTCGTCCGCATTGAACGCTTAGCACACAATCCTCACATTGCTTTAAGAATAAAAATGATAATTCGAAATAAATTAGCTTTAGGTATAGTAGTTCCAAGAATTTCTTTTGGAATGTTTACTTATTGGTCAGAAAGATCTAAGAAGTAAAAGAGGGAAGAGATATATAGTAAGTGATTAAATTGATTTGAAAAAGATTGAACTTACGTAACTTTTGCAGAAAGTAGCTTTATCAGTGTTATCAACCGTATAAATTTCAATAAACCCATCCTCCTTCCCGATAATAATATTTGGTGTTAATGCACTGGTCATTGGATAACAATAAATGCATGTTATGGCTGAAAGTAGTATTTCTCTAGACAAGAAGAATTATTCTATGAAGAAGAAGGATAAATCGATAATATATTCTTAAGCATTGTGTATCCTTCAGAGTATTGTTATAGCACACATACATAGTAATTGTTAAAATTTAGAAACTAAATTGTCATTATTGTAAATTGTTTCTTAATTGATCAATTAAAATTACAATAGGATAATATGTACCGCTTGTACTCTTTGTCGGAATTTCCCATAGCATTGTCCCACTTTCTGGTGATAAATCCACCAATCCAAGGTGACCATCTTTGGTGCCGTACAGAACTTTCTGCTTGTTAAAACCTGTAATGTGATTGCATCAGAATTCATTTATTTCAATGTAGATTCATGCAAGGGACCGTATCATAAAGATTTATCTGTATCCTAAAATCTCAAAATGCAAAATTCCATTTTAATTATTAATCATACCTCCATCATTCATAAAAAGATGTAGCACATTTGGTGTATCACTCAAACCTATTTCATAGCTCAGCTTGCTACCCTCAATTACCTGAAATTTAACAAAAATTAATTTAACATCATTATTATTTATTGCATTGTAATTTACTCTTACAAACTTAAATAAGCAATATTCGTTCTTTTCGGCAAAAATTTTAACTGCCTTAAATAAATAAATGAATATAAAATTCCAATTTAATTTCTTTAGCAACAATTCTAATATTTTATGAGCCTGGAATATTCATAAATCGCTGAGGATATGATATGAAATGAACGAAAAGCATACCTTAATAGTTTTATCATTGCATGCAATAACAGGGGTTATACCTCGACCAATCCATGAACCTTCTACAACTGGTAGACAAATTACGTCATTAATTCGATCCCCGCATAAATAACCCTGAGTGATATTTGAAGGTATATAAGTATCCTTAATCTTGTACATACTATCATCTCTAATTTCCTCTTAAATAATGACAAATTTTAAGTACCGTTAAAATTTGCATAGCATAGCATTTCATCCAACTAAAGAACTTACATTAGCATCAATGCAATCATGAAAATGATTGAAATTTCGTTCACCACAAAGAAACATTTCAACGCCATATATGTACCTGTAAGAAATTTGAAAAGTTTAAAGTTTACAATAATTTCCAAATCAGAAAATACTCCAACTTTAGAAACTAATTTATTCCTAATTTGAAAATTCCAAATTTAATTAATCCCTTATTAATTCCTGAATTCTTCAAATTTCAGAATAATTTCTTTAAACGGTTTCGAGCAATAAATTATTTTATTTTTTTTCTTTTCTTTTTTTTTTTTAAGAAGAGTGAAGAAGAAAAGACATTGTAAATTGCAGTTATTAAAAAAATTTCTTTATTATTAAAAAGAAGAAAGTTTAATTGGAAATTGAATAATCTTATCAGAAACTTACATGCATGATATTGGTTCAATCATGTTCGAATCAAATGCAAGGAACTGTTTGCCCTTCTTCGTATAACCTTTGACACGATCTTCATAGGCGCAAAAGATTTTATCTTGTATCATTCCAAGTGCACCACCCAAACAAATGCATACTATCTTTGGCCCAGAAGCCGTTTTGAAAATCACCTATACATTAATATAATCAAACATACGTAACCATCATTTGGATTTTTTAGCCTTAATATTACCATGCGGACTACTGAACTGAAAGATATTGTACATTTGCAAGTTTATTACACTCATATCCTGCTCCATTCAAATCATAATACCTAATTATCAGTAATAATTTCAAATATCATACTTGTGTTTCATCACCTTTCCTACCGAAACATAGAAGGGTTCCATTTTGGCTACCACAAACAACCTGAAATTCAAGAATGACATCGAAAATTTGAACAAAAATTTGGAAAGTTTCTTTTTCTATTAAAAGAAGAAAATTGAATACTTTATCCAGAAATTTCGATTTCTTCTTTGTACTTTGATTAGCTGGAATGATTCGCATGGATCGTTTGCATGTCACACCAATTTGCGTATAATCAACTCTTGTCAAAGTTAAATCCATCAATTGTGACTTCTTTTGTCTTATTTCTTATTAAAATTCACCTAAATTTGAAGTGTTTTCTTTTTTTTAGAAATTTATCATTGTAAAATGAAATTTCAATTATCGTAATTGGAAATCTCATCTGTTAACATTATTGATCGATCATTGAAGTGCAAATATTTGAATGCAATTTAAGTAGAAAGTAACTAATTGTTATGGAAGTAAATTTCAAAGCATACCTTATGGTTAACAGAGTTGACAATTGGTTGCTTAGCAACACTTTGTCATCGAAATAGTTCCAGGAAATAATCAGATTTCGAGAAGAAACCATAATTTCAGATCGTAAAAATTTCAATTTTCAGTATGCTGAAATGAAGATCCGATATGATCAAAAAAAAAAAAAAGAAAAATCGTACAAATATCGGACTTGGCTAAATCCGGGAGTTACCAATAAACACGATATATTACGCAATTTTTGTAATTAAAAACTGTAAATTAACACTAATGATATTATATCACATATGTTATTGAAAATTCTTGCACTTCAATTCCTTCCATTGATATTCATCATGAACAGATCAAAACTCAATACCGTAACATAATTATTCATAATGAATAGATCAAAACTCAATACCGTAACATAATTATTCATAATGAATAGATCAAAACTCAATACCGTAACATAATTATTCATAATGAATAGATCAAAACTCAATCCGTAACATAATTATTATCATTTCGCATACTTCCAAAAAATTTATGGAATTTATTAAACTCTTAAAAATTTGTCAAATTTCAAGCATTGCAATGGGACTAAATGTATTTCAGGTGTATCGATGATGAAAAAAAAAAGCAATTTCTATTTTTAGTTAGCCAAAAATGTCAATCATTTTCATTTCATTTAAAAGATTATATTTGCTTTATTTCGGAACCTAAAATTGAGTAAATTGTGATAGTTGAAGGATTTGAAGCCAAAATATCTATCATATCATTTCAATTTACGTTTCCTTGGCTAATCATTTAACTTAGCTGAGTTATTGCTTATTGCTTACTATTAGCAGCCTATCTGATCAATCAGATCAATATCAAATATCTCAGATGAAAGCATCAAGTACAAATTCTTATCCTTCTTCTCTCTTTCACTTTCTTTTTCCGCTCCTCTTTTTCTTTTTCTTCCTCTTTATTTATCATCATACTATTGCATTGCTCAATTACAATCGTTATTCTATCTTAATTAATTATGACATTATCTTAATTAATCGTAATATTGTTTTGATTAATCATAATATTGCTTCTCCCTTGAATTTATCATACATACCTTCTTATTTGTCTTTTCCATATGTAAAAATAAAGGTAAACTAATCAAGGATTATCGTGAATTTTCATATTTTTTTGGAGTATTTTAGATTTATTTCATTGCTTAAACTTTTTTTATTAAATTTTAATTGGTAAAGTTTCCTAAATGTCACCTTATTTAAACCTTGTCAAAATAATTCGGATGAATTAAAAGTAATGCCCAGAGGATTTCTAAATTGGAATGTAAGGAAGGAGAAAATGATAAAAGCGAGGAGAGACTTATAGCTTAGATTTGATATAAATGATTATATTGGTTACAGTATGATCTGATTATAATATGACTTGGAATTTTAGATTAGAATCTATAATTTGAAATAAGTGTGTAGTAAAGAATGTACATAATAGATACCGAAAGTACCCGGAACGTGAATTGCGTGTCCTAGTGACGTGTATGTGCGTCTGAGTTAATGACTTGGAAGATTATTTAAATGCAAGATGAATAGGAAATCATACATGTAATGAAATGGGCCCAGTAAAAGGAAAATTTTACATTAATCCCTCACGTACAAACAGAAACGCTGCTTTCGTTTACTGTCAACTTAAAGCTAACGTCTGACGTTGATTTCAGTATTCATTCAAACGTTCACGTAGCTGCGACTTTCAAATAAGGATCCTGACTTAAAGGTTAATTTCAAACTGAAACACGTATACGTCATGATTGAAGATGACATTTAAGCGTAAAACGTGAAAATTTATAGGATCCTGTGCTTGAATACTGTATCTATTTCATTGCTTGAGTCATTACAATGGAGACATTTGTCGTGAGATGGCACAGTTACTTCTTTTTTTTCGCATTTTTCTCGAAATTTCGGAATATTCATTTTAGAATGATGGAGAAGGAAGAAAACGAATAAGATCGACACTGAAACCAATCATTGAGAGATCCCAATGCTGGAAGTATGAGATAATCGATATCGTAAAATCCATACTTCTAGGATATATTGGAAATGAGAATCTCAGGCTTGCTGCTAGACTGTACGTCTTGAGAATTTTCATTTTTAAAATTATAGCAAAGTCATATATAGCAAAGAGCTTTGAAATGACGTTGGCAAAAATCTTGATTGCTTAGCTTCTCAATTCTGATGTTTGTAGGATGAGTTATGGCCTATCTTGCTGTTCTATCTTACCACTTGAGATTTTGTGTCACATATATACATACACACACACACACATATATACATGTATATATCAGCGCATAATCTCTTGAATGCAAAACATGCAATAGGCCATATCTTTTCTTCATCGGTCAAAAAGCGCAAATATCTTATTTGCGCCACAAAAACCATTTTCATATCATTTGTGTTAATGATAACAAACAGGAGGAACAGTTGGTATTGAGTACATTTTCACTGAAAGATACAAATTTCCTATTTTTCCCTCAAACAGTTGTTTCTCCTTTGTACTGACAATTCATTACTTTCATTTCTGAAGCAGTTTTTGTCAAATCAATCGCATCTATCGTGCAGATCACGTCCTTTTCATCTTTCATATATATATTTTTTTTTTGACAAATTTTCAGATTCTTAAATTTTTCAGATTTTAGTTATTATATTCTAATTTTATCATTCTTTAACATAAATTTGAAAATGTATAGTTTGTGTTTTAATTGAGCATATTTCACTTATAAAACTTCCATTCTCCTCAAAAAAAAAAAAAAACTTCTACTTTGTTGTGAGCAATAACAATTGTATGATGTTGATAAATGATATGATATGCTCTTAATCAAGAATGCATCATTACTATTGAATGGTCTAAAGTTAAGTAAGAGTGTAAGTTTGACAGGATTGTATCAAATTTCCCGAATAATTAGCATAAAGGTTGAATTTTTAATCAATAAGGGATGAAATTAATCACTAATCAATACAGCGTTTTTATATCACATTTAAATTCATGTGGTTCATTTGTTACTTTATCATTGTTATCAATTGAAAAGATGATGCTGTTGAACATTTGTAATGACTAAATGAATCCAACAATGATAAATCAATCTCTCATTTCTTTTTTTCTTTTCCAAATGATTTATATTTTAAAAGAATATGTCGAATTGTGATTGTGAAATATTTAAAAATTTCAACAGTTGTCGAGAAAAAAAAAAGTCAACAGCTACACTTCTAGCACAATTACAAGTGGAAAATGTTTATTTTAATTGAAATTTTCGAATATCTGTTTAACATATGAATTTGTCATTTTCGCAATAATTATTGGGAAAAGACAAAAAAAAAAAGAAAGAATTTCAATAAATTAAATGAAATCAGTGAGGAATTTTAGCCTTTTTTAGAGAAAAAATAAAGAAATTGGATTAATTTCCCCCTTTTTTTTTTTTTTTAAAAGGTTTTAGCTCCCATTTTTAGTTATTTTACATGATTCTCAAGAGGGATGAAATTGAAAACGTATGCAAGTAACACGACAAATAGTAGGCAATCCTTTTATATTACATGTTTTTAACTGCAGACTAATTTGTCACAAACATTTTATATGTTTGTCAACTGGAGCTGTCAAAGTTTTAAAATGTTTGCTTTTCGGTTATTTCAAAATATGCAATAATTTCGTCCGATTTTTTCCTCTTTTCTTCGTTTTTTTTTCTTGTTTCTTCAAAGTTAATTTTTGTTTATTAAGTTCGAAGATTTTAAAAAGGAAGTGATTTTTCAAATTTTTTGATGTTAATGGAAATTTAGGATTAAGGAAAATTTTTGAATTTTTACTTGGAGAATTCCCACTTCTATGTAGTTTTATTTTTTAATTTACATTAGCTATTAGAGCTTTCTTAATATTTATTCAACTGATAAACTATTAAATAATATTAAATAATTAATTATTTAATCAATAATAACAACTATAGTAAATATTGGAATAGGATTAATTTACCTTGATTCTATTAATTAGTGCCAATTGAATGTCCGATCGAATTGATAGGCATCAAAGAACAAAGCAACATTCATCATCAAAATGATATTGTTATTATCAATGAATTCGGAAGGTTTGCAAATATTATTGATAAGTGAGTCATTTGGTAAGATGATCACATATCAGTCATTTCATCTAGTTTTCAAGCAAACACAACGAGTTTTGCTTCCGAATTGCTGACGAACGAAGACAGCATATTCCCTCTGCAAAAAGACAATGGGTGACATTGATTTGAACAGCTGAAAGGTAGGTCCCTGTTGTCAACAGTGTTAGTGATATTCTTATAAGCTTTCTATCAACCATCAATTAACGGGTCAACTTTCTGATTGCGATAATGTTTAATAATTTATGAAGTTTAACAATTTTTGGATGAAAATTACGAGACGACGTAATACAATGTAAAAGATTTTTGTTTTTAATATAATTAGTCTTTCGGATAAGGATAAAATACTCGAGAATGAGAGAAGCAATTTAAAATAATAGATCTTTCATAGTAAGTATATAAAAAGGGTAGCCAGAGGAAGAAAGTTAAGCGGGTGAGAATCGGAAAAAACCATTGGCAAATTGAAAAAATTCTGTTTTAACTCATCCAATTAGAAATTTTTATCTTCTTTAGAAGAAAATCCTTTTTAATAATAATAATAATAATAATAATAATAATAATAATAATAATAATAATAATAATAATAATAATAATAATAATAATAATAATAATAATAATAATAATAATAATAATAATAATAATAATAATAATAATAATAATAATAATAATAATAATAATAATAATAATAATAATAATAATAATAATAATAATAATAATAATAATAATAATAATAATAATAATAATAATAATAATAATAATAATAATAATAA